TATATATATACATATATAATATATATATATATTTTTTTTTTTATATATTTATATTTTATATCACTGCGAGTCAAACTATGAGTCAAACGTGCGTGGAATTCACGTTATGAATTATCACGAAAAGCATTGAGCCTTAGCGCAATAGAATATTTATTCCGGAAGGATCGATTTTCTAAGAAATAAGAGACTTTTGATGTTTGGAAAGATCGAGAGTAAAAGTAAGTGCTCGAGTCGATTTTTCAGACGTCGTCCGGATGTTTTTCAAAGCGCTCGCTGCTCGTTCGTTTCGCGACTTTGCTATCAGCCTGCGAAATTGCCGTATCTTCTTAATGACTTCCCGGCTGATGTAATTTGAAATTAGAGAAGGAAACGCGAACGGCCGTGCCTCCGCATACGCGTCAATACGTGCCCGACCCTCCCGGCGAAGGCGATCCAAGGCGTTTTCCCCGAGCTCCCTGCGCGAAACCAGGCCATGCATGTATAACATTATTATATCGATTACACAAAAGAAAATAGCTATCTCTTAACGATAACGCGACTGTCATTCGTGCGTTCTATATACAGTTGTTATTACGCGTCGCGCGTGCAAACGTATATACGTATATATGTATTCGCCGACGATCGAAGGAGAGAGAAAAAGAGGGAAAATAGCGGTTCCTTTACTCGACTATCAGAGAGGGAGGAGGGGGAGAGAGAGAGAGAAGGTAGAGGGAAAACGGAGATCGACCGCCGTGCGGTGTCAGATAAAATCTCGCCCTTATCGATTTCTATAAAAATAAATTACTACATTTTTAGAGACGCATTACATCACAGACTTCTCCGATCCGATCCATCCGTTCGTCCGTGCATCCGCTCGTATACGTTGACGTATACCTACGTACCTACGTACAATTTCGCGTATACGTGCAATACGTGCTTGCGCATCGCGCGCAAATTGGGCCATCACGTATGCGCGTTAAGTTCGCACGCCCGAACGCGAAGATGGGACTCTCGATAAGCGCAAATTTTTGCGACGAGCTCTAATGATAAAACACGAATCGAAATAACTTCGAATAATAAAAATGGGTGGAGCATGTTGCTGACATTTAAAAGAAATCAATTCTTATTTCGTGCCTTTAGGCACGAAAATAAAAATATTCAAGTACGAAACGGCGACTACCGCCGTGCATGATTCATGTCGGATATGACTATTTGAAACTTATCGTATCTACAAGCGGAACATGCGATTGCATTTGCGCTGCTCCACGGCGATAGATATAACTCTAAATTGAAGTCTTGAAACTACCGCGAAAGATTTCTTCGCGGAAGGTATGTTACGTTGAACTGGCTCTTCCGCGAATTCGTCTAACACTTTGGAGATAAGACTTTATTCAAATTTATTACATCGATTGTAACTATTTTGTACAATTAAAGTATTTTTTCTTTTTCTTTTAACAATGAGTTTATACAATAGTACAACATGTGTGTGTCCAGGTACTATTGACGGGAAGGTGAGGAAATGCCCGCGGAAAGAGAAAAAGACAGATCGTGTGATTTCGTCGAATCTTATTTCCCTAAGAGATCGAATCACTCAAAGGTAACTGGTATCGACAAGATCGGTAAAATGGGATTTGTCGTTTCGACCTCCAGCGCCGTCGCCATACAATCACTAGCAGCTTCCACTTCACCCAACGATTCTAACACCATGCCCAAGTTATACCTGAAATATAACGTACGTTGTACCATCCAATCCATTAAATTAATGACAATACAAATATATATATATATATATATATATATATATATATATATATATATGTTTAAGAATTAATGCAACGCAACAATTACCAAATGTTGTAGACTCTTTATGTGTGAAGGATTAATTGAAACAGCATTTTGATAGCATTGTTTCGCTTCTGTATACTCCAGCTTGTACTCGTGTAAAAGGCCACGCTATAAAGAGATAATTACACTCAATTATCATGCCACATTATATAATAATTTCCAGTTGTTTAATCTGAATTCTCGAACACAGAGATTCATAATAACGAGAAAATTCAAGCTTCTACCGTGTACATAATATGGTGACTCAGCGGAAAGATATTGGTGGCCTCTTGGAGAGATAGAACAGCGCCATTTGGTTGGTCTAGGATAAGGAAAACCTCAGTAAGTAGAAGCCAGATCTGCAATTGCAGCAGCCATGCTCTCTGCGGCCCTGGCTTCGGTGTGAACGAGCTAATCGACGAAGCGACCTCGGAAAGAGCTTGCTCAACTCTTGAAGCAGCTAATGATTGCGCATGCAGGGAACCTATTAGAAATTATCACCTTTTGTGAGTTCAGTCAATTTTTAGAAGACATTTTATTGTGAAGGATCTCTCCAGTTTTAAGATCATTAGGTTTCTATCATTAGGAATGCTAGGATATATTATCAGAAAACGATGAACAAATTAATTTTTTATAAAATGATATAATCCATTTGTTATTTCTAATGTCATCTAATCTGCATTAGGGACATATAACTCACTAGAATCTTTATCGGACATTTCTGACGTGTAAAGCTGAAAGACACTTCTGGTCTCGCTGCGTTTCTCGCTCTGTTGCTCATTACAATTAACGTTCGTCTGATCTTCATAGAGATCTTTCCACAGATGTAACATGTGACTGATGGTATATAACGCATCGACGCCGCCAATACTTCGCAATTCGAGATGCGCCTTGACATAGAGGAAATTCAAATTGTCCGGATATTCCTCTAATACACTGTTTATCACGTGCAATGCCTCAGAATATTGCTTATGTGCCGACAGGAGTAGCGCGAATAAATGCAACGACGGAATGTGTTCTGCCCGTAGATTCAGCGCGATCTTTACATGTACAATGGCATCGGTTATCTGCCTATTTATCGCATACTCGTGAGCCAAGTAATATTCAGCTAGATGATCATTCGGATCGCACTGTTGCGCTCTATTAAAAAAATAATCTTTTATTAATTAACTGGGAAAAAAAATCTGCAAGAATGTCAGTTCTTATAATTAAGGTTGAGCATTACAAGAAATACATACTTTTGAAAGAAATCTAACGCGGTGTTCGTGTGATGCACTTTATCCTGCTTTACGATCGTATTTGCGGAGAGCATACTGTGACCGATTCCAATGTACAAATGGCATCTGGATTGCATTCCCTGTGGATTTGCCATCTCTCGCTGCAAAGCCTTTTGACTCCATTCAATACCTTCATTTATCTACCGAATTTGAAATTGTCATATGAGAATATACTTTTTTGTCTTGAAATATAGATAAAGATGTGGATAAAAAAATCACTTACTATATTCAATTGCTCATAACACAGCCTTGCAGCCAATAGACAAGGCATTACTTTCTGAGGAGATAGCCTGGCGACCACCTTTAAAACTCTATATGCATGCATGTATCTTCCCATGCTTATAAGACATAACGCATATTGCGTCCATATGTGTACTTCCTCATGGGAAAATTTCATTGCTCTTTCAAAAGACTGTAAAAAGACATTAAAAAGACATTTTAATTAAATATCTGAGTAATACATGAATTAATTTTTAGAAAAAAGGAAAATATTTTAACCTCGTGTAAAAGTTCTACTTGACTCCATCTAACGACGACGACCGTGAGCAGATCATAGATAGCAGTAGCGTTCTCAAACGCGTGTATTCTGGCTTCCTTGAATTCGGGCGATTGGCTGAGAACGGCGTCTCTCACCGCCATTGCCTCGCTGATTAATAACAACAGAATCGTCTCCTCGTATTCGTTCCTAGGAACGAATATATTTGGCCCCGCATATTTCTTTGGTTTCCATGGTGAATCCGATGGATTGGCGCCCGAATAATGATTTATTCGTCTATTACTTAGGGCTGCTACAATGTTAATGTTGTATCAATGGAGTACTTTTTTTTTTTTTAAGTTTTAAGAAATATTCTACTATGTTTACGTGATTATATTCATACCTGTTGTGTCGGTTTGTCCCTCGGGTGGTTTGTAGTCAGCGCCGCTTATTCCACGCAGCAACACTTCCGCTAATTGTCTAGTCAGCGTTACTCGCAGACTTTGAGTAGTCGTAGATTCAACAGCAGATAAAATTTCCCTGTCGGAATCAAACCACACATTAAACTATCCATGAAGAATACGATAATTATGAATCTCGTATTATAAATAAAATTTTAAGAATTTTTTAGAACCAAAAAAATTTTAGAGAAACTGAAAAATATTTAAAAAAATTCATAAATAGAATAATTTCTTGTATATCATTATATAGATATTAATTATAAATATTAATTATATATACATAATTGATAAATACCTATAACGATTAACAGCGGCTTGTATGTTGCCGGTTTGAATGTACAATATTGGTGCTCTTTGCAGCGCAGTCTCCAAAATCGGGCCGATATGCTTTGCAGAGACTGGAGATGATGTAGAATATGTACCTATAAACGAAGAAAGTTAAAGTGTTAAAGATCATAATTTTTTGTTGGATTAAATTTCTTTTAATTACTCTTTCAATTACCTGTGTTATTTGTGTTTATTGTGGAAATACCATTTTGTTGCTGCATAGCAATTTTGTCTTGCTCCTGCAAATATACTAACGTCAAGTCGCCAGAAATCTCGTAACACTTGATTATCTGTTCTTGCCATTCTGTAATCTTGTATTTTGACTTGGAATTTGGTGGAAGCCTTTCCAGACAAAGACCTGGTACGAGTAACAATTTACAATATCGACATCAATCAAACAATACTGATACATTTATGCAGAGAAAAAATTTAATACAAAAATAAAAATAAAATTTCCAATCTTGGTGATCAAGAACGTGTGACGAAATATTTTACAAAATTTATTATAACTTCATTTTATGTGAATAATAAAAATCTCTACATAGTGCTCGTCCCAAATTCATTGCAACTAAATCTAGTCTATAATATTTAATAAATAATAAAATAAATTGTCAAAAAATATAAAATAAACTATCAAAAAAGCAAAAGCGTAACTGATTATTTCGTAACTGATGATAGTTTAAAGAATTTCTTGAGGATTTTAATTATCAAAATATACAAATAAGATAATGTGCCATACATGTTTTTTAGTAAGTTCATAAAAGCATTTACAAGCAAGCTTCTATATTACGATAAAATGGATGTTATAAAATGTGTTCTATATATATATATATATATATATATATATATATATATATTT